TTCAACATATTACTGGAGCAAACTCAGTGAGGACCTGAGGACCAGAGGAGAAGCAGTGCAGAAAGGTCTGCACATCCACACTGAAGCACTCCGGCTTCAGTGCCCCTATTCTCCCCTTGGAACACTGGCCTGAGCACAAAGAAGCCTGCATGCTCAACTGCTGGGCATAAAAATGAAGTCAGACTGGTATGCTGCAACAACCAAATCTCCAGGTGGTTGGGAGCCTTTTATTTTTGACTTCTGAATAAAATGAAAGGTTCCTCTTTTCCCAGGCATTACTCAAAACAAAAACTTGCCCCAGTTCAGTGTGTAAGTTTGCAGAAGCAGAACCAAGAGGCTTCTTTACTTAACCCAGCAAGAATCACAGCCCAATTCAAATGAGAATGATCTTCCCTGGGAAACCATGGCTTCTGAGAACAAAAATCAATGCGAGGACACTGAATCAACTCCAGAAACAGACTCTGGCTGAGAGCTCAATGTCACCACCTGGTTGCCTCAAATAACCCATAAATTTCAAAGGTATTATCAATTAACTCAGGACCTAATTTTGAGAATTATGTTGAATGAGTATGAATAGATGAAAATAGTTATGTTTGTTTTTGCTATATTTGAAAATAAAAATATCATTCAATCACTAAATCTGTCATCAAATCTCAGAACAACATGCTAGAAAAAAACATCATTTATTTCACAAACTTTTACAGAATATCAGCCAAGTCTGGAAGGTGGACCAGTTAGTGGGAACATAAAGATTAAGTAAGACATGGTACTGGGCTTCAAGGAACTTAAAGTCTATCAAGAGAAGCAAATGAACAAGTGTCTAAAATGTGTGATACACATTAAAGCAGAAGTGTGTTGTTCCACTGGTCACTCATTATGGTATCACCTCCTTGCATATTAGCACCAGCTTGGGATAAACTTTGGAACAAATGAGCACAAAGAATGAGGGAAACAAGAAACAGTGAAACATGTATTAAAGAGGAAAGGAGGACAGATAGTGAAAGAATCATAAACAGAGCTGATGTGAATAAATGCTTCAAATAATACTAATGGGAATTCATGCTGAAGGGACTGACAGGAGCGGACAAAATGTAAGAAGATGAAAATCCTCCCAAAATAAAATTCAAATTTATGTTAGGCCAATCAACATTCCTTTCAAATACTTAAAAAAATAACAAAACAGAACAGCAGTCTTCAAAAGCCTTCAGAAAAAAGGTGAAGCAGTTTATGATTCTTTTTTAGAAACAGGACCCTGGAATGCTTCCAAAACTGGGTTTGAGGGGGAATTGAGGCTGAACACTCTATCAACCACCTGCTGCATCATGCAACTTCGAGGCAGAAGGTATCTGTCCCCTATGTAAGAATATGTTCTCTTTTCTCTCTTCCTAGGAACAAGTGTCCTCTATTCCATTCTCTAGAGAGAGCCCAGAGGTCTCAGTGTTTGAAGTCTACAAGCTTGGTCTGCAACAAGACTTACAGCTACCAACTTTCTTCCAGGTGGGATTCTTAGAGAGATCTGTGAGCTTCCACTGAGCATACATCACTTTGATCTGTCACCTTTATTTTGTTTGAGCCAGGTCTCACACTGTCACCCATGCTGTAGTGCAGTGGCACGGTCATAATGATCATAGTTCACAGCCACCTCAACCTCCTGGGTTCAGGTGGTCCTTCCACCTCAGCATTCCAAGTAGCTGGGACTACAGACAAGCACACCACTTCTAATTAATTAATTAATTAATTAACTTATTTATTGGTAGAGACGAGGTTTTGCTATGTTGCTCAGGCTCTCCTCAAACTCCTGGATGCAAGCAATCCACTGCTTTGGCCTACCAAAGTGCAGGGATTACAGGTGTGAGTCACTGTGTCCGGCCGACCTGTCACCTTTTTAAAGTGAGTTGTTATGACATCATCTTTGTATTACATGTTATCAGAGAGCAAAAAATTTACTGCAAAAAAAGAGTTACAAACTATGCTCTGGATAAAGTGAGAAACAGAACTACTGCACGGTATCTGTCAGTGAGGAAGGTTAACTTCTATGTTGGGAGAGTCTTACAGGTAACTTCTAAAAAGCTTCATGAATCTGCCTAAATGAAAAAGACAAGCTACTTTTTCTATCTTCCTTTAAATAATTTTAAATTGTACGATCTGCTTAAGAACTGATTCAGACAATGTATATCTTAGTAATTTTTTCATTCATCTGGTATGTTAATACATTTAGTGACTTTATGCAAACATTAGCATGATTTCGTCTTCTTGGCCCCCATTTCATTTTAATTTTAATTTAATTTAATGTGTCCTACGCTCATCTCAATAACCAGTTTCAAAACATGACAACTGAAGACACTATTTTTTCCTGCACAAAAACTATCAAGTATTCATGGGGATTTTAGAGCGTGTGTACAGCACAAAGAACACGGAGGAAAATTCTGGGGCTGGTCAAGAAAAGAAACATCAACCGAGAAAATGTTTGGGGCTCAAAACGAAGTGCAAGCACACTGAGGGAAAGAACCAGGCTGCATTCCAAGTCCATGGGCAGCTTCCCTGAACATCGGGCATGTGTGCGCTCGGCCATGCACTTCCCAACTGGGCCCCGACTCCATCCTTGATCCCGGGGCACACATGTAAGGGAGCAAATCAAGATAAACAGGCAAACGTTTCTCTGCCACTGTGATGGCCTTGCATACAAAAAGGAAAGAATGAACCATACTAAAAATTCTCCCATTATGAAAGTGAACCACTTTTACAAGTGATCCCGTTTAAGGTCTCCTTAGTCGACAAACTCAGACACACTAGAAGTTCTTACTGTGAAGCCAGTGGAAACAAAATATACTTTAACTTTTATGTAATTTCTAAGCCTGGTGACAGTACAGACTCTGTGGTCTGCTAACTGAAATGCTTTAATTGTAAGATTTTTCCTTAAAAATGCTGATGTTACAAAAATCAATGAACCCAAATGGTGTCTCTGAGAACAGATTTTGCAAAATGCTTTCCTTCCAGTTTTCCTTTAGTGTCTCCTTTCTGAAAACCATCACATGTTGAAAAGAAGTTCTAAATCTGAAATTTGCCTCATGAAAATGGTTTTCTGCCTTAAAAGAACGTTAAATCCTTACCTCAGACTGCTAGCTGCTAGAATATTGCTAGACATGGCGCACAAACACTGGCTCCAGTCACTGGGCTCTGAACTGTGCTACAGATCTGAGGCTCTCTGCCCTCCACCCCTCTCTCTGTTTGGTCTGTGAGCTGCTGCCCAGCTGCCTGCCACCTTCCTTTCCTCTCCTGTGACATCTACAGTGTCCAGGGCAACAGTGCCCCTGTGGCCTGAATAAGAAACCTGTGGACTGGATATCCCAGCCCAGGCCACTGCCCTCAGGCGGGTCCAGACTGCTGTGCTCCTGGTCTGTTTTCAGTCTAGGTCACTGCTTAATGTACTATGACACCATCTGCTTTCATACACTGATCAGCTTTAACCTCTTTCTCCCTTTCAGTAAGGGTGTAAAAATGTACAAGGATAAAGAGACGTGAACGTGCTAACACTAACAGAAAAGAGAGTAACACAGTCATACGCAACATGACAAGCACTGTAACAGATGCGTGTGGAGAGAGCTCTAGAAGGTGCAGGCAGGGTGGCTAACTGCCTGGGAAAGAGAAGGGAGACAGCATCCCTCCGTGTCAAAGACGTCGGGAGTGTCACAGATTCAGGGTTGAGTGCGAGGGACCCTGGAAGATGAGGACACAGCACAAGATGGGCTGGAAGGAAAAGCAGGGTCTACATTGTGAGGACGTGGAGGCTTTCAGGCTGCTCCCCAGAAGAATCACTGATGGTTCAAAAGAAAGGGCACAACCAAATCAAATTTATATTTCAGAAAAACAACTGTGGTATCAGTGCCTTGGAGAGGCTGGGGTGAGGAGCTGGCAGGGCCAGGAAGTGCAGGGAGTGATTTCAGTTCAGTTCAGGACAACTGGGAAACTCAGTCGAGTGATATGTGCCTCCAGAATTACCTCCTTGGAGAAAACAGCCTCTTTGTAAATATTTTCAACAGTTTTTTGAGTTATAGCAGTATTAAGAGTAGGGAAAGAAGCTAGTTGTGTCAGTTTCTATTCTGATAACCATCTCAGGCCTGAGAAGCACCCGTCCATCTGCAGAAAGGACAGAGAATGCTGGCTACCAGCCTGGGCAGAGCAAAATGCGAACTTGTGGGGTCTCAGCAGTCTGCTACACCCCCTCCTCCACTCTCTTTATGGACTCACAGGGTTTCAGAGAGAGGGTAGTATGGTTTTCCTGTAGTCTAAACGTTAAGTTACAAATTATGTGAATGAGGACTAACTACCCAAGATCTCAGAACTGGTAGTGAAGTTCTTTTCCATTAAAGGAATTTATTGGTCCCTACTCTCTGATGCCTTTAAACAAGGCCAGCCAGACCTCACCATATTCTCCCCAGTAGTCCTAACCTCCCCAGGTCTTCCTTCCCATCCTATCACTACAAGTTTCCACAGTCATAATCTTAAGTTACCCAGAAGGGTCACTCATTCCCAATTCATAAAGAGCTGTATTATAATGTATTATCATCCTTCATGAAGGTCCTTTGTGAAATAAGAAATACATTAACATCAATATCAATTTGTAGTCACCCTGAAAACTTGAAGTTTTATTAAAATTATTTTTTTCTCAAAAGCTACATAATACTTCCATGTAACTTTACATGATTTCTGTCAAGAATGTCAGTGTCTTGTTTCCCCTACTCATCTCCTGATTCACAGGTCTCCCCAGCCACACCCAATGTATCCTCTCTTTACCCCCAGCAAAGGCAGCCGTGCACTCGTGCTACAAGGATGGCCTCTGTGACTCATCCATGCAGACACACTCAGCATTCACAGGCTACAGCTCACAACTTGCCACCTTCTTGACCACTTTCTCACATTATGACCAAATTCAAATTCCTTCCAAAGAATCCAGAGATGCTTTCAGATACAGATTACATTTTTGTCTCCTGACACCTTACCTCTTTCACATGAGTGTGAAAGGACACTGACATGTCCAGCAAGATCTTTCGTTGCTCAACACGCCGGACGAAATCTTGTATCCGATCTTCAAGCTGATGGGCAGCCTGATAAATCTCTTCTGGGTCACACTCCCCAGTCTGAGCCAGTTGTTCTGCTGCTTCTAGTAACTTATCTGCATTGGTGTATGTGTTCTGCACAAGACAACATCCCAGAGAAACAGAAGTGAATAAAAAGCAAACCAGCCAGGCTCGGAGTCATACAATACAGCAACACAGAGTCGATGTGCAACATTTCTGGTCATTGACACAAAATATGATGTGGAGAGATGATTTTAGGAATTCTATACAGCAACCTTTTCCAATATTGTTTCAGATTGTTAAATTCTAACCCTCATGGCAAAGCCTTTGTACCTCGTGGCAATGGGCTGTCTGTAGTGTTGCTGGCTGCCTCCTGATGTAGAAAGGGCTTTCAGATTTTCGCCAAGGTGGACTCAGGAGACAGCCCATGGTCACAAATGCTGTCTTAACTTTTTCTCTCAGTTTTAGGATCGAGTGGCGAGTTCCAGTTCTGTGTCTTTCATTATGATATACTGCTTTATGACAATTATGTAAAGGTTCAGTTCCAAACATAAGTTGCTGTCCCTTTTCACATGTTTCCACTTACTAGCAATTCTGTGCTTATCTTCTTTCTACTTAAGACTATAGGGGGTTTTTTTTGAGAAAAAGGAAATATAACTATAATAGCTCTAAAGTAGCCAGATTTTAAAGATCTGAAAGCAAAAAGGAAATAATAACTATAATAGCTCTAAAGTAGCCAGATTTTAAAGATCTGAAAGCATAAACATGTGTCTAAAATACTCTGAAAGTTACTCAATTTTAATTCCTAATAAATCTGAGGCATTAAATGGGCCCTTCCAATAAACAGGTATGTTAGAGTCCGATGCTCTAATAGGAGACTGCTGGGGAGGGAGTTTGCTGATGGGGAGGGAAGCAGCTAAGAAAGGCTGGGGGGTTAGTGCAGGAAAAGAACAGAACTCAGGCCTTCCAAGGCAGCCCAGAAAGCCAGTTTCAGGTGGGTCCTCAACCTTCTCAAACAATGTCCTAAAGCTGAGAAGGCATACATATCATTGGTGGTGAAGGCAAGATGGGCTAGAGCAGGGTGCCGAGGGTGTCTATGTGGGGAGGGAGTAGCCTTCCAATCTGGAAGACTGGTTCCACCCAAGGGGATTAACTAAGTAAGTCACATTGCAGATAAGGGAGCCAGGCTTCTCTTTTTAAGAAAAGGGAGTTAAAGATACAGCAAAGGAGAAAACATGAGGTAACCCTTGGCACTGGCTGGAACTTGCAGATCAGGGTGAATACGTGGTTTTTAACAGACAGATGTGAATGTGCATGTGTGTACATGTACGCACAGACACACACACACATTTGCTCACATTTTCCTCTCCCTCCTTTTGTCCACTGAGGGCTTGGGAGAGCAACAGCCCAATAGTCCAATAGTGGTAAGCATGCGTAGCACCGGATTTCGGCTTTTAGAAACCTCTCTCCTCTAAAGTAAGCAGGCTTCATGGAAAAAGGGCTGACTGCAGGGTTGGGGTGGAATAAAGTATAGCCTAAGCCCGAAACTCCATACTGTACCAAAAGCAAGGAAGAGCCCAAGGGCAAAGTGGTCAGGTCAGGACATAGAAGTCGGCTTAGCCAAGTCTGTTTCTGAGCATCAGAGTCATCAGCTCTGTTGTCACAGAGTATCAGCCACCAAATACAGTAACCCCGAGTCTATACTGACAGAAATGTATCAATAACATTAGGTGAGGACCAGATATTCTTAAGTGCCTCCCCAGAAAGCACTTACTAATTTCAATGGTGGGAAGACTTACTTTACAGTGGAGAAGCCTGGCAGGCCCCACCCTAGCACAGAAATCAAATGAACACCTCATGCAAGGGGACAAGTTAAAACCACATGTCACCCAATGGGCTGCCATGAGGAGGACGCAGCATCCATCACTCCTGTGACACTCCTAGCCAAGATGTACCACCTGAATCTAACTGTGTGGCACATCCTCCAAAATGCAGGCCTGAAATCTTCCCCTGTGTCAGGCACAAAAGTCAAGGAAGGACCAAGGAACCACTCCAGGCTCAAGGACACTAAGAGGTGTGATGACTGAGTGCCACAGGTGATTCTGAACTTGATCCTTTTACTATAAAGGACATTAATGTCTTTTTACATTAAAGGTCTGAAGGTTAGAAGGGGTATCAATGTCAGTTTCCTGATTTGGATGGTGCCATTGTGGCTGTATAGGAGAATGTCATTTCTTGGTAGGAAATACATAGTAAAGTAAGTGGTTCAGGAAAAAGTGTGTACACACATACACACACACAAGAGACAGAGTTCAAAACCAGCTTTCGCCCATGAACAATTCCTGATCATGTTCTGAAATCATCTCATCCAGGCCCTCCCCTCTGAGGCTGGCACTTGGGGCCACTTAGTGCAGGCTCTGGCCACAAGCAAAGGCTCTCTTGTGACAGCCGTGAGCACCAAGGGCTCTGCAATGGAGGTTCTGCATGCATTCTGCCCACAGAAGTTCTGTAACCACCAGAGGCTGCACCTGCAGGAGACTTGGAGCCACAGCCTGCATCTCTGAGATAGGCACAGTAAGTCTCAGAGCCAAATGAAGCTAACAGTGCAGCAAGCTCTACGTACAACACAGCGCTGCAGACACGCATTTCTGAAGGACTGAGTCCTGATTTCCTACTGATCATCACTACAACTTTGAAATCGTATATATACCTCTTATGTTTGATAAGCAGATCTGAAGATGATGGAGACTCCCAACAACTAAGCATTACATTTCTAAAAGCGTTTCCGTTATTTAAAAAAAAAAAAACTGTCTCAAAGGTACGAGTGTATTTTTGAATGATCCAGGATATTAAACAGCATTCATTCCACTTATCATCATATAATTGAAGAAGACAAGGTAGAACAAAAGAGGTTCAAGGGCTGGTGGGACCCACTTCAGCACTCATGTCTCTGAAGCTCCAGGCCTGGGCCCTTCTGCAACGGGACAGAGGTTTCCTTGTGCTAACGTACATCACAATGACCATAAATGCTGACTTTTGAGCAATTACTCTGTGCCTCACAACAGCTCTATGGCATGTATCTTATTTTATTCCCATTGCACAGGAGAGGAAACTGAGGCTCAGTGGGATGAAGTAACTTGTCCAAATCAGTTAGTAGAGCTGGGATTGTTGAAACAACTAGTGCCTGGGCCAGGGTTTCTCTCACAAGAGGAAATTTTGTCACTGGACTTTAAGAGGGAAGGGTGTCAGTAAGTGAGCATGTTTTAGTGTCTGAGAGATAGAACTTTTCCTGTCTTTTGCCTGCTGTCCTGTCCCTTTAGACATCTCCCTCTGGGCCTATTTCCTTATCTGTGGTGTGGGGCCTCCCTGCCATGAGGATTAAAGGGGATGATGTAAGGCCAGGCCAGGGTGGGGGACTAACTAGTTTCCTCTTTCTTGAGAAGAAATAAAAATTGTACAGCTCATAGACTGACAAGAGCCTCTGTAAGGCAAATGCACATCAGACCTTCCTCTTTCTACAGTCCCTCAGCTGCAGAGGCTGTTGCTCACCAAAGATGGCCAGAAGTTTCAGAATCCACTGGAAAATAAAAGTTGGTGATTTAAAAAAAAAAAAAAAACACCTTAGGACAGGAAAAAGAAGGAAAACAAGCATTTCCTTCTAAGCAAGGCCTGAGTATTTCTGTTGTATTTGTTTGGCTGAAAAGACAACAAACAAAGGCTGCATGTAGGAAACTTCTAAGGTATCTTATTAATAAAGAAATGTAATTTAAAAAGAGCGATGGGCCAGTACATCTACAGTACAAAGTTAAAAGTCCCAGGCAATTTAAATGATCACTTACAAGACCTACATTTCCAGGGGTCTTTTCCTCCACTAAGGGTGAACACAGCACATCTAGAGGCAAGCTGGCCACGCCCCAACATGGGTGCAGGGTATGAAGGTGCAAATAAAACCACCAATATGAACAGCAGACCCAAATAGTCCTGTATGGGATTTATCGAGGCATAGCAAAACTCTGGCTGCCATCTAGATCTCTCAGCATTTGACCAGACTCACATTTTTTTACTTTCAGTATGGAGAAGGTTGGGTTTGGTGAGGTAAGAAAGGCCAGGGGAATAAATATGCCTGCACTACCCTCTGGAGTTTCTTCCAGCTGTTGCTCAGTGGTCTTAAAACACAATGCTAGGACTCATCAAAATACTTGGATAATCTAAATAATCTAGATGGTCTGGGCAGGGACTTGGCAGATTGAGTAACTTCCCTATGGTCATGCAATCAGAAAGCAGTGGGGTTATATCAGTAAAACTTTAGAAGAATTTTTAATACGGAAAAAAGAAGCAGGTGAGAAGATTTGTTACCTTGTAAGCCCAAGCCAACCTAAAGGAAATTATCCACTATTGATTTATTTAATACTTAATTTATTTAAAAAGACTAAAAAAATATATAAAAACTTTATATTACGAACTGAGTTTGTTGCAAAAAGGCAGTCTGTTGTGTATGTGTGTGTGTGTGTGTGTGTGTGCGCGCGCGCGTGCAAACGCACAAGGCTCTAAGAGCTTCAGCAAATCAGAAATTTAGAGCACATTCCAAATGCAGAAGCATTCTGCACATCCATGTGTTATGGAGGTAGCATCGTGCTCATAAAAGATGAATGAGTTCATTAGTGATCAGGGAGTAATCTGGACTGTTTCTCCTCTGAAAATCTAGAATGAATCTAAGGTCTCCTGTTTTCCTAAATGACACACTTTTATCCAAGAAGATAATTATATGGCACATATGAAAAGTTGTTGACAGAAATGGCTTCCCGGGGAACAACTTTCTGACAGGTTATATCTTTGGAAGGTAACTGAATTCCAGGGAATAAGCAGAAAAGAAAGAGGGTGGTACTTATGGAAGATGCTATGCCAGAAATTTACCAATGATAGTAAAGACATCCTCAGTGTGCTCAAAACCAGGTTCTTCCCTGAGCCAGAGTATTCTGGACGTTACTGGCTGAGGTAATCATGGCTTTTTATTTTTTCTTTTTGAGGCAAAAGTCTTATTCTGTTGCCCAGGCTGGAGTGCGATGGTACAGTCATGGCTCACTGCAGCTTTGAACCCAAGGGCTCAAGCAATC